GTGTACAAAAGGATTTCCTATCCCTAAAGACGTAACGGATTGCATATTCATCCATTTATACCCAATTACTTACCTATCCAGATCCGATATGGAACAAATTCCCTTGTAACATTTTCCCCAACTTAAACTTGCAATGTCCTCGTTGCGGCTCAAGCCACCTGCCTATCTGGGAAGAAGACCCATACGCTTGAACCTAAACTTGCAACACTTTCGTTGCGGCTCAAGCCATCGTGCCTACCCTAGAAGAAGATTCGAACGCCCTCGGCTCAAGCCATCGTGCCTACCCTAGAAGAAGATTCGAACGCCCTCCTGGCTAGGAGCTTGGCGTAACACTAGATCAAGTACTAGGTCTGGGTTTGACTCTAATACTAACGGTAACTGGTGGGCGCTTACCCATTTATTCAAAAACTCAAACTATTGAGTAGTGTTACAAACCCACACATTTATTCCTAATCACTTTCCTATCTAAATCCGATGTGGGACAAATTCCCTCTATAGAAGAAATTGTGTCATTTTCTCTATTTGTTTGGTTTGATGGAAAAGAAAATAATGAGATACTACCTTATTTTGTTTGTTAAAAGAGAAGAGAAGAAGGTGTGTTAATTATAAAGAAAATTTTATAATTTAAAAAATTCTGTAACAGTCTTGCCTTTTTTTCCTTTGTGTCTTCCATTCATATTTGGAGAGACAAAAATTTGTGAAGGATGACTGATGACTTATTTCATTATTTTTTTTTGCCTTCTCTTCTTAATTTTCCCCAATCCCTCTTACTTACTTCTGACCAAATAAAATATTAAGGATCACTCATCTTAGTATTACTTTCCCCCAAATAAGTTCATGGAATCAATAATATATAGGTAATTTTAAATGAGAAGCACTTCTAGTTTCAAGCAATACAATAATGATTAATTTGTTTTTAATTGGTTGTGACCCACCAAATGTGGCTGGTACATGCCCACTTTGCAATGTTATTAATGTTAAATTTTATATTGCAATTAACATTTTTAATTTACGATATATTTTATGTTGCAATGGTATACATGAAAGTATACATTTTATTCGTTGTATATGATACGAATAGTCTGTATTTATGTATATATAGCACATTTTATGTTCATCTTACCATTTCTAGTTTTCACTCCCTTGTAATTTTCAATGGTTTTTATGTAGCTTATTTAATTTATTTTTCTACTGACATAATATTGAAGGGATATTGAAATTCAAACCGACCAGCACTTTCAAATCTTACATTACTCAAAATATTAAAACCGAATTGATTTTATTTTTTCTGTGAAATAAATCAACTATGTAGTTGGCAAATTAGTCAAAAATGAGGAATTGAAAGAAAAATCAAAAAAGTTGACTGGTAATAGCATTGTTAGTTAGTTGGCAAACTCTAGGGTGACTAAAGCAAAATACTATTCAACAAATTTTGAATAATCAAACTAAGTATATATATATATATATATATATAAAATCATGTAAAGTAGATGGACGACTTCATATCCACCAGACAAGGAATTCAGCCACTATTTCATAATACATAGAGTTAAAATCATAATCATAAAATTCACATTACTTTCAAATTTTAATCATAAAATTCTAACATGTTTCAGAAAATCATTACACTTTAAAAAAATAATCACATTGTCCCAATATTCGTATCCGACCCATTAACCTAGATATGAAATGACAAATTTATTCTTAATATTTAATGTTAAATTAAAAATTAAAAATAATTTTTTAAAATTTTAAAAAATACCCTTTAATTTTCTTCTTTACCCCTCTCTCTCAAACTCTTACCCCCTCTCTCCCAAACATAATTTTTGAAATTTTAAAGAATATTTTTGTAATTTTAAAAAATAATTTTTAATTTTTAGTTTAGCATTAAATAGTAAGGTTAAATTTGTCATTTCATATCCGATTAATGAGTCGGATACGAATATTAGGGTAATGTGATTACTTTTTAAAAGTGTAGGAATATTCTAAAATAGGTTGAAATTTTATGATTAAAATTTGAAAATAGTGGGGGTTTTATGATTTTAACCCTAATATATATATGAAGGGAATGGTTTGGAAAATAAATTATTAAATATAGAAAAAGTACACAAAATAACAGTTAATATTGAATATTTTAAAAATCAGTAACCCTAAATTTTTAAGATATGCATGGTAATCCAAAAACAATTTAAAATAAAATAGTTTAACTGAAAGACTCTCGTAAGAATTCTTCTTGAGGGTATACCATTTAAAATTGATTATGATAAATCAACTTGCAGAAATGAAACTTTTAAAAAAATCTAACAATAATTTTGAGGTGCATAAATATTTCGTAAAGATAGTCAAAACCTCCAATGAACAAGGGATCATGACAACTCATCAACACCTAAATTGCAACACCTAAACTTTTTTCCAGAATGATCAAGTATGAAAAATAGTAGAGAAATTTTCTTTAACTTTGAGTTAAAAAACTTGAGTATGAATTTAAACTTTAAAAACCCATGAATTAAGAAGATTCATGTTCTAATAAAATGAATTTGGATTCATCCATGTATCACACAAATCAAAACATATTTCATAAATTTGATGAAATGAAATTAATTGGGTTCATTCTAAAATTAATTGAAAAGAAATATAATATTCACCGTATCAAAAGTTAAGTTTGATTAAATAAATGTAAAATCATCTCACTTGTTTGATGCATGAATCATCCAAAAACATACAGACATATATATATATATGTCTCTGTGTGTGTGTGTGTGTGAACATATCTAAAACTTGATTGTTCAAAGGGGTATGAATAAAAAATAATTAATTTAAATATACATATATAATTCAAAATATAATATGATTTTAATTGTACGATTATATAATTTTAAAAATATTATAAAAATAATTTGAAACATGATTGTATTATTATGCTCTGTTTCAATTCTAAAATCCAATTCTTGCAGTATGAATCACGATTATGATATATTCTATGTAATTTTTTTGATTCAGTCAAGGTTGGATTTGGAAAAAAAAAAAAAAGAGAAGAGTACAAAGATGAGTACCAAATATTTATTAGTGAATTTCCATGTCTCATTGTATTTGTCTTCTTTATAGAAATAACTTTGCATTGTACGGGTGTGGTCACTTTCAAACTATTGTGGATTGTGAAAAGACATCTAACTCCTTTCTGTTCTTCCTGTGATGATACCATATACTTTGTCAGTAGTCTCTCTACCATAATAAGTCAAGGAAATGCATGCCACTATTGAATATAATTATATTTTTTAATATATATATATATATATATATATAATTATATTTAATCTCGTGAAAGTGGTCTAATTGCACGAATTTCACCTCGAGGGTTTGAATTCCATTGAAATTATCCTTCAGTATTATTATTTTTTCCAAAAATTATCTAATGCATGTGAGCCGAGTATACTATATGTATTCGGTGATAAATTACAAAATGTTAGTAAAGATAATATTTGTTTAAATATTGCATTTTATTGTATTTGCCTAAATAAAGTTTTTTTTCTTTTCATTTTTTTTTTCCTAACTGCCCCCACAATTGAATTATTAAATTTTGGAGTCAGAATTCCCTCCACTTGTCAATTTGTCATTTAATCTATTAATTTTTTCTATCATTAGAGAGTAACAAAATAGACATCCAAAAGGGTAAATAATAATAAAACAAAAAAATACAAAAAGGTTGTAACACCTTATTAGTAATGTCTTTACTAATTGCTTTAATTCTAGTCCTCCAATTTTATTATTGAGACTCAAAAAGTAAAAATCAAGTGATCAAACATTTTCACATGAAAGAAAATTGTAGGATCCCTAAACCAATAAAGCTCCTTTCAATCTCCATAATTCATACAATAAGAGTCTACGACTGAAATTAGATAAATTCATTAAAATATTCTTTATTGTTAAATAAAAAAATAAAAAAGAAAGAAAGAAAGAAAGAAAAAGAAAAAAAAGGAAAAAGGATGTGATATCATTTTCGTAGTAACAAAAGAAACTTTTGACCAAAGAAAAGAGTAAAGTTGTTTGAGAGGTGGAATGCTGAAATTACTTGATATTATTATTGGACACAAATACACAGTAGATCTTAGGGTATCAAATTGTACACCTAATAACTTGGAGGACAGCTCTCTAGTGTAGAGGAAGATGATTGATATATATCCCATACAATATATATATATATATATATATATATATATATATATATATATATAATAGTATAATATAAAAATTTTGCATGACCAATATAGTCTGACAAAGAGATAATTTAATGACAAAAACTCTCCGGTCTCTACAATTACATTTTGAAGGTTGAAAGTTTGAATTATTAATGGTTGAATTTCTTTAGAATCACAGGCATATATGAGATGATGGAATAGTATGTAGCGATCTTTAATAATATTTTTTAATAATTGTTTTGCGTATGTGGGACGAATGAATTGCTTGTAACCAGTTATATATAATGAAGTCTTAAAAAAGACTTGACGTTATTTTGAAAAAAAAATTCTTAGTAATTTACCGGATGCATGGAAGAATTGTGCATCACAGGCATATATGAGATGATGGAATGGTATGTAGCTATCTTTAATAATTTTTTTAATAATTGTTTTGTATATGTGGGACGAATGAATTACATGTGACCAGTTATAAATAATGAAGTCTCGTAAAAGACTTGACTTTAAAAAAAAAAATCTTAGTAATTTACCAAATGCACAGAAGAATTGTGCAATGATACATCATCCTAGTGACAAAATATATAAATAAATAAAATAGAATTTGTAATATGGTTGTTTGGAAATTTGCACTTTATCTTAGCATATTTTTTTTGTTGTTCCTATTTTTCTTTGCATATAAATTACACGCGTGTGTATATATGTAACATATACATGTACAAATGAATATACGCTTACCTCATTTCCACTCTCCCTGTCCCACCACCGCGTGACACTTTCTCTCTCCTCTCTCTCTACCCTCCCATAAAACCCCATCTTTGAGCTCCCCAATCCACCAAAAATCCTACAAAGCTCCGAACCATAATGATTCAAACCCGAAAAATGTCCAACCACCACCACTCCTCTTCTTTCCCTTCTTGCTTCCGCCCCAATTCCACCACCTCCGCCGCCTCTAACCACCGCTCCGCGGCGGCGGCCCACTGTTCGGGCAACAATCCCAACCTCACCACCTGTCTCTACCACACCCACTTGGGCCTCTTCGCCCTCACCTGGTCCCGCAACCTCCTCGGCAGCTCCCTCCACCTCCACCTCCTCCTCCAGCCACCACACTCCGCCGCGGATGACGACCACAACCTCTCTCTTCCTTCTCTTCCTTCTCTCCCTACCCCTTCTTTCCATCTCCAAATCAAACCCTTCTTTTTCTGGACCAAACAGGGCTCCAAAAAGCTCAATCTCACCACCGACACAACCCAAAACATCCAAATCTTCTGGGATCTCTCGAAAGCCAAATTCGGGTCCGGACCGGAACCCCAATCCGGATTCTACATCGCCGTCGTCGTCTCCGGCGAAATGACCCTCCTCGTCGGCGACTCCCCCAACGAAGCTTACTACAAAATCAGAGCTAAAAAGCCCGAAAAGCCCCAAAATATGGTCCTGAGAAGAGAACATGTGTACGGAAACAAACTCTACACCACAAAAGCGAACTTTGGAGGCAAAACCAGAGAAATCTCCATAGATTGCAGAGTAAATGACGATCCGAGACTCTGTTTCAGCATTGATCACAACAGGGTTTTGCAGATTAAGCATCTAAAGTGGAAATTCAGAGGCAATGAGAGGATCGAAGCTGATGGGGTCCACATACAGGTCTCATGGGATGTGTATAACTGGCTCTTTGAGGAAGACGATCAAGATGGGTATGCTCTGTTCATGTTCAGATTTGAGAAAACAGGGCTCGATGAAGATGTTGAAGATGATGATTATGAGATGAACCATTTGAAAGAGAAGAATGGGATGGCCTTGTGGTCACACCAGTCATGTGGGTTTGGGTTCGAGAAGAAGAAGATGAAGAAGGGGGTGTTAAGGAGCTCGAGAAGCTCGTCCTCGTCGTCACTGTCGTCGGCTTCGTCGGGATGTAGCTCTGTCATGGAATGGGCAAGTATGGAAGAGAATGAGCTCAAGGGTCCTTCTGGTTTTTCTTTGCTAGTTTATGCTTGGAAGAGTTGAAGATGATACATACACGCACTGGTAGTATAATTGTTTGTTTCACTCACTAACCCCATTTGTTCGTGAACATACAAAGAATAAATAAATTTGTGGCATATAAGAGAAAGATATATGGATAATAGGATATATATATATATATATATAGGTCTAACAACTCTTGTTTTCATTTTTCTAGTGAAAGATCTTTGTGTTGATTGTAATCAAAGATGTTAGCAAAATTTTAGTAATTTTGATTTTCCATTTGATTTGTTAGTTCCTTGTAATGTGCCATGGTGCATACATTAATTGGCCTTTGGTCTCTCTCTATATAAAGAATTTATATTTGGGACTGATAATATATTTGCTTAAGCTAAATCAATGCATTTGATGTCTTTTTATTTATGTTAGAAGTTGAAGCGAACACACATATTACCTCTACTAAGGTTTGAATTCTTACTTTTTTGTCGATCTAATTAGTAACATTTTTTAAGGATTTGATATTGTTATACATTTTTAAAAATCTATGGATTTACATCAATATTCGTCTGAATTAGTTACATTGTAACCGTTATCACGACCGATGGAGAGTGGTACGGCCGGATCGCTTGTCCTTTGCTTTGCTGTCTACGTGTTGTAGCCAAAGAAGACTTTAATTGAAGTGATTTATATAATATAATTGAAGTAACTTTCATTTTTCATTTGATTTGTTAGTTTAGTTCCTTGTAATGTACCAATAGTGCATATTTTGGTCTCTAGTCTCTATCTTTTTTATCAGATCCTTTGTTGAGCCTAATGCGCATTACAACAATGGAGGGTTGTGATTAAAACGTATACAGTGTGTGTTTGCATGTGTTTCAATCACAAATCTTAATTCGTGTACCTTTGCATGTGTTTCAATTACAAACCTTAATTGTTATACCGCATACAAATTATCTGTTTCAATTACAAACCTTAATTGTTATACCGCATACAAATTATCTTATATATAACGTATTCATATTTGTTTCTGACCTATATTTATTTCTGAGAAGCCCATTTGTGCATATAAAAAAATATCATTATCATTCTTACCATAATTCTATATAAAATGAGGTAGTCAAATGCTTTTTTTTTTTAAATGTCATTTCAATTACTATATTTAATTTTTAAAGATATTTTTAACAATCTCAACTCATTTTAATTTTGTCGCCTTCTCCATTTCTTACCCTCAATTACAATTAAATTTACTCATTTGATCAACACGTTTTTAAGTTTTTAATATATGTATTCAAACCATGCAAGTCTGTTTTTTTAATCGTTTACTTGAAGTGTGTTTTTACTCATAATTTTTTTTTTTTTTCTCACATATTCATTAATGACCCTGTTTCATCAAAAATTGGACATATAGATCACATAAGACATAGGTTAATAATCATTGGTTTGCTTTTGCTGTTGGTTAAATTGTAGATTGATTGATTGTGTTGTAGTAAAAGATGTAAAAAGTGTTGTGATAATAATGGCAAAATAGAAGTGTGTGTTGATATTTGATTTCTTTTGTTAGTTCTTTGTAATTTTGTCATAGTGCATGATGGGTATGTAATATATATCTCCTCTCTTTTATCTCCACTTTTGGATGGGTGTGGCATGAGTTGTTGTTTGATTATGGTTTGTAACAGTGTATATTTTTAGTGAGATTCCGAGCTTTCCGACTTGTGTAGTACAAAGATGCATGTGAGGGTGGGTCACCATTGTTTATGTGTCTCTCTCTATATATGTGTGTGTGTGTGTGTGTATATATATAAGTTTCATGATCTTGGTTGGGTTTTGAATCATCTGCACCGTTAATTAGGTTGACCTTGTCTTGGATCAATCAAATGAACCGATTTGGGACTGTGTGTTTTGTGTGTGATTGAAGGGAAAAGTAGGTGATTTAAAAAGGCACGGAAAGTGATGAGAAATAGGGGCGTGTATGGTGGGGTTGGAAAATTCTGTTACGTTTGACCGTTGGGGTGTGGGGCTGGATCAGTCTCGTGAATCTAGGAAACGAATCTCTCTCTCTGTCTCTATTGTTTTCACTTTCGTAAATTACTAAATTCACCTTAAAATTTCATGGACAATGCTACCCTGACAATGTTTTTGAAGAGAGTAAAGTTATGATAGGATGATCTTAATATAAGTTTGGGTCTTTTAGTCATTGGATGGAGAATGTATAGCATGAAATATATACATTCTTTCTCCAGATTGCGAAAAATTCTAATAGGACTGTGTCACAGGGGTCTTGTCAATTGGATATTAGTATCAATTAATAATTTAAGTTTTTATTTTGGATCACAAAGCACGTAACACGTTATAAGTAATATCAGAATAAGATGCATGCTCACCTAAGAGGTGCCTTGGTTCAGGCTGGGTAAGCAGGGTGGCTCAACCGTGACGTGAGTGTTGCGAGTTCGATAATAATTTTATCCCATGAATGATGTCCATTCCCACCTAAGTCTATTTTTTCTAATCTTGTTACTAATAAGTGCTACACCTAGTTTATCCCTCACATTTTGATTTAAAACCCTACCTTTTTTCTAGGTCCTCCCATCATTTAGGTAAACATCTTCATTTCCACCGTACGAATTAAACTTAACAATAAGAGCATCTCCAGATCTCCAACAGTGTGTAAAATGATTTTTTATGTAAAATATACACAATGTGTAAATATATATATATATTTTTATGTCCAATAGTATGTTAAGTTAAATTACCACCTCACCAATACTAGGTAATTTGATTATCATCTATAATTTGACAATTAAAATAGAATGTGTCCATTTATTATTGATTCACGTTAACAGTGAAAATAGTGTAGAACATCACTAGTAAAAACCTGTGTATTTTTTGTTTTTGAACAAATTGAAACTAAAATAATAGAGAAGTGAATGGGTTTCACTCTTGATATACCATACATGTCCTTTCTCTCAAAAGTGGACTGAAATGGCTCCTTTATCGTTTGGATTTGTCTAGTTATCTTCAAGAAACTGTTTTTAAGAACTCGAAAAATGTAATCTTAGAAATATAGAAAAGTTGTTCTATAAAAATAAGTCTTTTTTTGTCCATATATTTTAAAAGATTGTCAACTAAAATAATTTTTGTACTATTTTCTTATTTTTATTTTTTTTTGAAAACAAAAAACTATTGTCAAAAGATTGAACCAAAAGGACTCATTAGTCCCTTTCTTTCTCACTTGGGTAATGTTTTTTTTTTTTTTTCTTTATACTTCTTTTCTTCTCCTACCCTACAATGTATTTCGTATTAGGGATATAAAACAACCCGAATGTGATCGTGGTTTGCAATCGCGGTATTTGTCACGGTCGTGGTGTAACGAACTTAGACTAATATCCGAATAAACTGGCTGTTTAATGAAGGTATGTAACGGTATCGGACCATTAAAAAATGGTTACGAGCTAACCGATATGTCGCATACGGGTCGATGCATAAACGTGATAGAAAAACACCTTTCAAAAGCAAGAAAATGTCATCATCAGTTATTGCGGGACACATTCACACATATATTCATCTTGCAATACGTATGAACATTAGGCCTCAATTGCATGAAATCGACATGCCCCCCTTCATCGCCAAAATTCTCAATATCCCATTCTGGAGTAATCCACTATCCACGGTCAGAGAACACACACTTCAAATAGGTGAAAATGTGTAAATTGGGACAAAGACAATGTATTCACAAAACAAAGTCAAAATTAGCCAACTTTTCAAAATAACCATGTATTTGGATAAGCTCTGTGGTGGTTTAAATTGGTTTGATTTTGCCATGTCACAATGACTTTAAATTGTGGGACAAGTATATATATAACCGTTTGGTAAAGTGGTAGCTTGTGAGCTTCTAAGAAAATCGGATATTTTTGGATTTTGTGGTTTATATAATTAGGGTTTTGGTCAAAAGCAGACATGTAGGACTTGTCTGCTCAAGACTTCATTGGATCAAACTTGAGATAGTCAAGTGGATGTCGACACGAAAATGATGGGCAATTTTTGTAAGAAATTTGGAAGAAATTTCTTTTAATTAAAGGGGGAAAAAAACAAACATCAAACCTATCAAATTTAAATTTATTGAGCAGGTGAGAAGTAAATTAACCCGTGTCATTGATTAACTTGCTAATTATTGTATGTGGGGTCAACTGTACGTGCCAATGGGAAGTGATGTAGACAAGTTTAAGGTTAAATTAATGAGGGACGTGACTGGGGTGCATGATCTGGACATGTTTAGGATTAAATTTAGGAGAGACGTGGAAGACGTTTATGCAATGTATGATACAAAAATGACTTTAGAAACTATAGTGAGTTATTTTTTATTTTTTTTTCCTCTGCAGGGGAGGGTGAGGATCGCGTGAGTTGATCCCGAGCTCTTACATGACTCAGAGATTGTCTTTATTAATCGGGCTATACAGCTCGTCCATATAAATTATGATGAGTTACATTTTTATAGTCAAATAAATCTTTGGGTCAATTTATCGTCCTTGTTCTAATCTCATATAAATAAAATTAGCTACAGGAATTCTCTTTTCATACATATATATATTATTAAATTGTTATCTCATACGAATAAAATTGTCCTCATGAATTCTTGTCTTTATGTTTTTTTATTACATGTCATTTCCTGTAATCTATTTAACTTTGTAATTTTTTGAAGTGATTCGCATATATTAAATTTGGGCTTTTATTGGGCTGGGCTGAAGCTCGGGCAGACATTTCAATTCGTGATGAATTTCAAGGGGACCCGGGGACAGATTGGGCCTTCAAGGCTGAGCTTTAGACCCATCTAGTATGTCAGGCTTGGGTTTACTTATTACTTATTAGTAGTTTTATGTTGAAGCTATGCAAAGGCAAACAGCCCAAGTCATTCAAGTAAATTAATATTTCTGCCAAGTCGAGAGTGGGAGGACTTTATATCGTTTTCTCAAAAAATTTGGAAAAAAAATATATATATACTAAGAAAAGTAAAAACTATTATCTTTAATAGGCATTTCTGCCAAGATCTTGTAACAAAGTTGCTGGGCAGCTCAGTTAAAAGATTGTCCGATCCATTAATGGATGAATGGGTGGTTGGAGAATATATATATATATATATATATATATATATATATATATATATATTCGCAATATGAATGATTAAATTCTTTCTTCCATTGCGTTGATTAACAACATATGTCTATTAAAAGTTCGTATTTCAACAAAAAATAAATAAATAAATAAATAAAATTGTATAAATAATCATC